CCAGGGGTCGGCTCACCTCTACCGGTGCCAAGAGCCCGAGGCTACATGCCACACACTGTGGAGGCCAAATGTTGGGGTCACTGTGGAGTCCCCAGTAAGAGAGCTCATTGACAGAGCCGTTTGCCCCCCTGCTGGGGATCGAGCCCGCAACCCCAGCATGCGCCCTTGACCAGAATCGAACCCGGGACCCTTCAGTCCGCAGGCCGATGCTCTATCCGCTGAGCCAGACCAGCCAGGTCTGTAGGATTCCCTCTTAATTCCTGGTGTGTGCGATGTATGATCAGTTTTCTTTGATGAACTAGATCTGTCCACCTGCCCTATGTCCTGTTCAGAGGGGTCTGTAAAGTGAGAGATCCGAGTGAGGTGAGTCTAAAATCCACTTGACCTTGGGACTCATTGTCCATCCCATTCAGGGGGCCCTATGGGCTCCTTCACAGTAGGGTCTGGTGGACATGTCAGGACTTTCTAATGAGAATGCAGGCTCTTTTCCGCTCTCCCCACACCTCTCATAATACTCAGCTCCATTGCATCTACTATTAAACAAAGATGCGCTCACATGAAGTCTGAAGTAACCAGATTTTAAAAACGGACTCTGAAATGTACACCCTAACCCTTGGTTTCTACGGATGATGCCTGCAGTGGGTCTACTCAGCCCTGTTGTACACTATTTAGGAGGTTTGATTGGTTGCCTCCTGCATGAGCCCTGACCTGGGCCCCGGCCAGGTAGGAGCCTGCAACCTAGGTACATGCCCTTGACCAGAATCGAACCCGGACCTTTCAGTCTGCAGGCTGAGGCTCTATCCACTGAACCAAACCGGTTAGGGCGGACTTTTACCAGTCTTAGCCTGAATGGCTCTATCTTCCAGTCTGCAGGCCGACGCTCTATCCACTGAGCCAAACCGGTTAGGGCGGATTTTTACCAATCTTAGCCTGAATGGCTCTATCTTTTTATCCATTGTCAGCAGCTCAGGATCCAACTAATGAGAAATATATTTTCCCACCGACATTCTAGGATGCAAAACACATTGTTCATACTTCGGTTGGGGGGGAAACAAGAAGAAATAATAAAAATAAGATATTGTGAGAGCTTTGAAGTGCTGGGGAGATGGGGGTGGGGAGGGCACAATGGCAGGTTCCTTTGTTGATTTTCCTCACGGCCACTCAGCGAGATTCTTATCAAGCATTTCTGAGCAGGAGACAATGAAAATGACCCAGCGTGAATAAAAGGACGGATGACAAATGTGCTGTGAAAGGAGCGCCGGGTCCTCATTGAAAACAAATAGCCCGAGGAGGCGGCGAGCGAGGCACACTTTATCTTCCCCATCCTTTTCAGAGCTGGGGTCCAGAGATGTTTGCCCTGGAAAATGAATGGAGTGGCGGGAAGGCCATGTGGCCTCCTTCTCTGGCCCTTGCCTTGCACCCCGCAGCCTTTTCAATGAGTTATTTCTTACCCTGGCCCTTCCAGGCGGGTCAGCATCAATATCCCTGCTCCAGGGGCCGGGCTGGAGGGAGGTGAGGGCTGGGAGGTGACTCGGTGATGGGCCTTAACGATGGGAGGGTCAGGTGGCTGAGGATGGGGAGCAGCTGTCCTCAGGGTCTCTCCTGAGTTCAGAGGAGAGGGCGAGAGCAGAACTTGAGCAGGGAGGGAGGGATATTAGAGGGAAAAGAAGTTCCCCGTCAAGGGGTAGTGTTCCCTGTGATGTCATGCAGCTTCCTGAGGGCAGGCATCTGTCTTCTACCTCTTGGTGGCACGGCATCTATTAGATAAATGCGTTCCCAGAAAATCAATGTTCAATTGCTCGATTGATGCATGGTATGGACAAACTCCATATGTAGGCATCTTTCAACCAAGGCTGGGGGACCCGTGGACCTTGGCTGACTTGATCTACCAAGAAGGAAGGAACAAGTGATCCCATAAAGTCATTACTGGTTTGGGGGTTCCGGAATTATAGCTCCTGAGAGCGGTTCTGTTCAACTCAATTGAAAATTCAGTCAAGCCAGTACTTATTGATCATTGACTATGTGGGAGGTAATGGACAAGGCCTTGGTGCAGAAATGAATCAGTCGTGACTCCTGCAAAAGCAAAAGGTGGAACGGAAGAGAAAGAGATGCAGATAACTTCTCACAATGCAGGCATTTGAGAATATTCTTCAGGGCCAACAGGAGAATTTTTCCTTTCTGAGGATGGACCAGTCCTCCTTTTAAGGCTTCTCCCTTCTCTCTATATAAAAGCCAAGTGACCGGAACAGTGGAATGACCACAACAACCGGAATGTTCAGTTGCTATGAGGCGTACTGCAGCCGCCGATCGGCCCCTCTACCCTGGTTGGGGGTGGTGCCGGCGGCCAACCTCCCGCATCCCCTCCCCCTGCCAGCCCGGCCCCGATCAGACCCCATTGGGGCAGGCCAGCTGGACCCCGCCCATGCACGAATTTGTGCACTGGGCCTCTAGTGATTAAATAAGAACCACTCAAGATAATCTCCCTTGGATTAAGTCAGAATTGACTGATTTGAGATCTCAATTACATCTGCAAAGTCTCTTCGTCTTTGCTGTATAATGTTCCCTAACCACAAGTGATATCCTACCCTGTTTACAGGTTCTGTCCATACTCAAGGAGTGGGGATTGTATAGGACGTGTACACCTGGGGGTGGAATTTGGGGGCCATCTTAGAATTCTACCTGCCCCATGGGACTCATTGCCGGTGCCTGTTGGCTTCCCATTGTGTAGGCGGGGACACAGCAGTGTCTGTGTATGAGCGGTGTGCACTTGGAATTGTACGTCTCCATTTCCTCTTTTGCAAGGCTCTCCCACCACCCCGGGTCAGTTTTGGCCTTGGGTCAGCATTTCTGATGAAAGATTTCATGGGAAAAGGATGACATTTATGTCTAGAGTTGATTTGGTGATTAGCTTTGGCGATTATCTTTTAAATTATCTCTGCTTCCCCTCTCCCCATTGTTGTTGACAGTCACGACTCAGTTGTTCATATTATTTATTGAAAGGGCTAAAGAGGAAAAGGCCAAGGCTAACGCCAAATAATTGCAAGGAAGCAGCATGTTTGAGGCCATCGAAATGCTCTTGGATGGGACTGGCTTCTAGACTTGAAGGCTTTATCTCTAAACAGTCTCGGAAAACTGGATTTTATCGCAACCAAGCAACTCTTAGAAGTGGCAGTGGGTTGCTCTTTCAAGGGTTGCCTGTTGGAATCCCACCCTAGGCTTTATTTTGTTCTGTTCAGTTGACCGTTTTTCTCGTGTACTTAGCCCAAAATCTTATTGGACAATACAGGAAGGCTAAGCCTGGGGAACTAAGCTAATCTGTAAGATAGCAAGTTAGGGATTTCAATCTCATTTAAAAATGTCCAAAATTGCAATAGCCTTAGAGGACGGTTCGTGCCATAGCACTGCCCAAAAGTCAACTCTGATGACGAAATCAGCTTTTACTGGACAAAACCCAAAACAACAAACAGAAAAGCAGGACCCCACCGTTCCGATCAAAGGCTGATTCTTCACAAGGTCCGCACCGCTGAAGAGAAGCTTGCACTGCTTCAGTGAGGACCTCTGCTGGGAACACAGCCAGCTCGCAAAGGATTTTTTTTGTGTGTTTTTTTTTACTCTGATGCTCTTTTATTATTTATTATATTTATTTATCTTTTAAAAAATATTTTTATTGATTTCAGAGAGGAAGGGAGATGGAGAGTTAGAAACATCAGTGATGAGAGAGAATTTTTCAGAGGAGGCCTCCTGTATGCCCCCCAATGGGGATGGAGCCTGCAACCCGGGCAAGTGCCCTGACCAGGAATGGAACAGTGACCTCCTGGTTCATAGGTTGATGCTCAACCACTTACTGCGCCACACCGGCTGGGTTATTTTTTAAAAAAATATATATTTTATTGATTTTTTACAGAGAAGAAGGGAGAGGTATCGAGAGTTAGAAACATCGATGAGAGAGATCGATCAGCTGCCTCCTGCACGCCCCCTACTGGGGATGTGCCCGCAACCAAGGTACATGCCCTTGACCGGAATCGAACCTGGGACCCTTCAGTCCGCAGGCCGACGCCCTTTTTTCTTCTAGGTAGCAGGGCAAAGGAATTTCTGTGGACTTGACATCTGGGCCCAGACTGGGACCAGCGTGAGCCTGGAATATTCCTTCAGATTCCCTCCTCCTCACCCACCCTTTCCAAATAGCCTGAGCCTCGAAGACGCTGGTGACTTTAAATGTCTTCCTGGGTCTGTAATGAAGATGCTTATAAATATTACAAGAGATTTATCACTTCGGTGTGAAATCCTCTGATACCAACCGGGAGTTTTTAAACACAACGGGTAACAAGAAGCATATGGTCAGAGATTCAAGTTACTGCTTTCTTTCTTTCTTTTTTTTTTTTTTTAATTGTTGTCTGCCAAGGACAATATATTTTTTTTCCCCTTTCTTCAAAATAAACATTGTGGAGGAATGTGCCTCAGCAAATGGCTGGGGTTCTATTATATTTCATGCAGCTTTCTAAACAATTTCCAACCCGAGCCTGGCCGAGTGTCAAACAGAAGGCAACCAACAATAGCAAAATCCCATTAAAGCCGAGAAGGTTCCTTCCTGAGGTGAGCCTGGCCAGAAATAGTCATCTTGGCTCATTCTCCCGTTTGGCACCGGGGACTAATAATGCGCGGTCTCTTAATGGAAATTATCTAATTTCATCCAAGAGTTCCTCCAGAGGGAGCCGGGCTGACGCACTCACAGTCAATATAACAACATTCTTCTTGAAGTGCCGGACAATGGGCCTTTGGAGGGACTGATAACCCACGTCAGCCGCCGGACAAACACCCGAGTAAAAATAGGCATCGAGGCAACTGACACAGCCACCTAATTTCTCAGGAGGGAGGCCCCAGAGGAGGCACATTCAGAGGGCTTGTTGGGAATAACTTCATCAGACCAGCTGGGAGAAGGATGGTGGAGAAAATCAGAAGGCGGGGGGGGTGGGAGAGAGAGAAAGACAAGACACCTCGAGATGGAGAATGGCGGAAACATGAAGAACGTGGTCCATGAGAGAGAGGAGAGTTCCTTCTCCATCCAGGGAACAAATACGTATGCAGCAACGGTACGAGGCCGCTTGATGGGAAGCCTGCTTTGGGTGTAATTCCCATGAACATCCCAGGGCCGTTGTCCAAGTGCCCTTGGCAAGGCCTAGCAGCGGGAAGGAAGGCTCCGTGTAAAGATAGAAAGACCCCGTTGGAAAATAGTCGTTCTTCTTGAAATATAAAGTGCTGATTCCATTACCTAAAGGTTCTTCATTAAAATAACTTCATGCTTCTCAGGTATTAATACATATTGAAATATATCCAGGGAAAAAGGAAGTCTGGATATTATAGAAGATTGGGTTCAGTGAACACACACACACACACACACACACACACACACACACATGTGAGTTCTGTGACACTATAATAGATAGACTATATATATAAATATATAACTATATTTCTATCTCTCTCTATATACATCTATCTGACCTGTAAACTATCCCAATAGTAGTACTTTTCTAAGACTAACAAGATCACCCTGAGATATATACCTAAAAGGAAAAGGAGACAGATTCATATTGATTCAAAGTATAGTCCATGAAAAAGTTGTTAACCTCCGCATCTAACAACAGCTTCAAAATATACAAAATAAAACCAATAGAAATGTAAGGAGAAACTGGTAAAGATAACATAAAAAACAAGATTAAATGTGCAAAAATGAGTAGCAATATATAATAGCATAATCATTCATTATAATTATACTAGAAGCCCAGCGAGCAAAATCACACAGCCCCGCCCACCTGTGTGTGCAGCCCCGCCTACCCACGCCGGTCTTTGGTCATAAGGGCCACAGGCCTTTTATAATATAGATCATTATTAAAATACTAGAGGCCCGATGCACGAAATTCGTGCAAGAGTAGGCCTTCCTTACCCCAGCTGCTGGCACTGGCTTCCCTCTGGCCCCCCGGGGCCCGGGACCCAGGCTTCCCTCGCAGCCCCTGCTTCATCTCGAAGGAGGTCTGGTCTAATTAGCATATTATGCTTTTATTATTATAGATAAGAATATATATATAGCTAAAAGATATGTATAAAATTTGGTATTCAACAGAGACAATTCACTATTTGTAGGAACATTTAAAAAATTAGAACACCTGTTGCTGGATTATATATCTATTCAGATTTTCTATTTCTTCATGAGTCAATTTTGGCAGCTGTGTCTTTCTAGAATTCTGTCCATTTCATCTATTTTATCTAATTTTGTTGGCATGTAATTGTTCATAATATTCCCTTATAATTATTTGTATTTTTAAGGTCAGTAGTAGTGTCATTTCTTTTGCTCCTGATTTTAGTAATTTGAGACTTTTCTTTTTTTTTCTTGGTCAGTCTAGCTAAAGGTTTGTCACATTTTTAAAAATATATTTTTATTGATTTCAGAGAGGAAGGGAGAGGGAGAGAGAGATAGAAATATCAATGATGAGAGAGAATCATTGATTGACTGCCTCCTGCACACACACACTGGGAATTGAGCTCACAACCTGAGCATGTACCCTGACCAGGAATCGAACTGTGACCTCCTGGTTCATAGGTCGATGCTCAACCACTGAGCCATGCTGGCCAGGTGGTTTGTCAATTTTTACTGATCTTATCAAAAAGCCAACTTTTGTTTTTATTGAATTTTTTCTATTTTTTAATTTTCTATTTCATTTATTTCTGCTCTAATATTATTTCCTTTCTTCTGCCAGCTTTGGACTTAGTTTTGTCTTCATTTTCCAGAGTCTTAAGGTGAAAGGTTAGGTTATTGACTTGAGATCTTTCTTTAAAAAAATAGATATGTTTATATAGACGTTTATAGCCATGCATTTTCCTCTAAGCATCACGTTTGCTATACCTCGTAAGTTTTGGTATGTTCTATTTTCATAGTCATTTATCTCAAAATATTCTCTATTTTCCCATGTGATTTCTTTCTTTTTTTTACCCATTGGTGTATTTGGGAGCATGTTGTTTAACTTTCACATATTAATGTATTTCCCAAATTTCTGTCTGTTATTGATTTCTAGCTTCATGTGGTTGGAGAACAGACTTCTTATGACTTAAATCCTTTTAAATTTATGAGACTTGTTTTATGGTCTAACATGTGGTCTGCCCTGGAAAATATTCCATGTGCACTTGAGAAGAATGTATATTCTTCTATTGTTGGGTTGAGTGTTTTATAGATGTCTGTTAGGTCTGGTTGATTTATAGTGCTATTCAAGTCTCCGTTTTCCACACCGATCTTCTGTCTAAGTCTATCCATTGTTAAAGGTGGGCTGTTCCAGGCTTCAACTATTACTGTGGGACTATTTATTTCTTCCTTCAAATCCTGTCACTTTTTGCTACATGTATTTTGGGGCTCTGTTGTTAAGTGCATATGTGATTATAATTATGTCTTCTTGATGGATTGACCCTTTTATCATCATAAAATGTCTGTCTTTGGCTCTAGTAATAATTTTTGTCATAATGTCCGTTTGGTCGAATATTAGTAGAGCAACTCGAAAAAGATATATTTTTTTAAAACTATTTTTCCTTTCAATTTGTTTATGTCTTTGAATCTCAAGGATTTTTTTTGTAGGTAGCATAGAACATATTTTTTTTTTTAAAAAAAAATCCATTCTGCTGATTTCTGCATATTGGAGTGTTTAATCCATTGCCATTAATATAATTACTAATATAATTACTAATTAATATAATTACCATCTTTTTGTTTTCTACAGGTCTCACGTTGATTTTGTTTCTCTGTTCCTCTATTACTGCCTTATTTTGTGTTAGACGTTTTCTAGTACACCTTTTAGTTTTCTTGGCATTCATATATAGAGTTATTTATTTTAATTTTATTCATCATGTCTTAATTTCTACTTCATTTTTGAAGTATAGAAAGAATAAGGACACAGAGAGACTGGAAAAGAGATGGACAAGGGCCTTGGTGGCAAAAAAAAAGTGTTCGAATCCAGTGTGCATCACCACGAACTGTGACCTCAGACAAGTTCCTTGACCAATTAAAACTTTGTTCCCCAAGTAAAATGGAAACGCCAAGGACAGCTCCCTCCCGGGCTTGATCCGAGGGTCGGGTGAGATAATGTCTGGAAGTGCTGAGCGGAGTCCTCCCTGGAGACTGACCCCGAGAGCTTGGCAACTGGTTTGGAAAATTCTAAGAGAAATTTCAGAAGATTCGCCGTGACCTTCATGACTAAATTACACATGTTGTGGGGGAGGGACAGAGAGGAGAAGGCAGGGGGAGGGTGGCGAAAACCTGTTTACTTCCCAGCAGATTGGGAAAACAGGCCGTATCCGTGTTGAGCTTCCTGCTGTTCAGGACACCTGCCTTCGGGAACCGGCTGGGCTGTGTGGCTCAGTGGTTGGGCATCGACCTATGAACCAGGAGGTCACGGTTCAATTTCTGGTCAGGGCACATGCCTTCTTGGGGTCCCCAGTGGGGAGTACGCAGCATATCAATGCTTTCTCATCATCACTGATGTTTCTATCTCCCTCTCCCTCTCCCTTCTTCTCTGATATATATTTTAAATACACACTCACACACACACACACACACACGTATTTTTTTTATTGATTTCTGAGAGGAAGGGAGAGGGAGAGAGAGATAGAAACATCAATGATGAGAGAGCATCATTGATCGGCTGCCTCCTTCACCCTCCACACTGGGGATCGGGCCTGCAACCAGGCATGTGCCCTCACCAGGAATCGAATGCGACCTCCTGGTTCATAGATTGATGCTCAACCACTGAGCCACTCTGGCCGGGCTGTTTTTCTTTTAAAGGAGGCTTTTAAAATGAGCCCTCAGGCTGCTTGAGACCCTGAGGTGTCACCTACCGGTGGAATTCTCCATCACACCCGGGGCTCTGTGGGAAGAAGGGTGGGGTGGGGAAAGGAGGAAACATCTGAAACAGGGAGGCATTTTCAGAGCCCCAGTCATGGAGCTGGAGTTGGGGCTCTGCCCTCGATCAGAATAGACGCCACTCTCAGGTTGCCATGGAAAAGGGTGACCCGGATGTTATGACTCAGGGCAAGAGTGGAGGGTGAATAAACGGTTGGAATCAACATTTTCCTAGGCCTGTTTCCAAGCTACACCTCGTTGCTAGAATATTGTGAGTATTCAGGGCGATTCGAGTTTGGCAATGCACGGGCACATGCGTATCAGCCATGGGTGTTCTTGTCAGTTGCACATGTGAATTGGACACAGACTATGTCACTCATTGAATTCTGATCATGGGCAGCCTGATACTGGAGGTGCCATGTGCTCCGTGTGCCCCGAATGCTGAGAGAGGTTGCAGGCTGGTGTGGAGGGCTCCAGCGTTTGGGGCTCCTCCTGACTTGGCCCCATTGGGAATGGGGGAGGGGAGGAGGTAGGGCACTTGAAGAGTTATCTGTGTTTTTACCAATTAGGGAAGCAAGCATGAATGAATAAGGCCATCTACTGTGTCAGAGAATAGGCAAATCGGGCCCTCCCAGCAGAAGTCAGGGAAATGCAAATTGAGAGAATAATATCAGATTGGTGAAAGTCGAAAGGACGGTGACATCTATTGCTGGTGGGGATGTGGGAAGAAGAGTAATGTCATAATTGATAGTGGAAATGTGATTTGTCACAGCGCTGTTAAAGCTGACCACTCAGTGAAACATCAGATGAACCCCCTGAAGTTGAAATGGATCTTCATCGTGTTTTATTTTCTACAAAGTGAGGATATGGAAGTAGCACTATTCTGTTCCAAACCTTGCCTCCTTCAACAGGCTTATGGGCATTCCAAATCACTTGCAAATACTCTGTTTTGAACCTAACAGCTCAGGTATGTGTGCCCAGTTACAAACAGACACAGCCGTTAGCCCTGTGTTCAAAAGTCTAAACTCAAACGTGACTGATCACTTTGAAGGGTCATGCACAAATTGTCAGCATCGCCTGGTGAGGGAAGCAGCCACACAAGAGAAAAACTAACCATAAAGCTGGGCGTTAACTTATCTTTGGGTGCTCTGTCTATAAATTTGTGACTGAATACAGTTGTACACATGTTCTATTACAATGTTTGTTTGT